CATTTCTAAATTATTAAATACTACATGATATGTTTCATTAATGTTCTAGTATTCATCTGAAGAAGAACAAGAAGATTTGAATATAGCTGCAGCTAGTTTAGCCAATAAACAAAAAAAAGAATTACCAAAAATTGATCACGCTGAAATGAGTTATTTACCATTTAGAAAAAATTTTTATGTTGAAGTACCAGAAATAGCTCGCATGACTCCTGAAGAAGTTGAAAAATACAAAGAGGTAATTTAAAATTAATACATATGATAGTTTAATATATTTTGTTTATTTTCATCAGGAATTAGAAGGTGTTCGAGTAAAAGGTAAAGGATGCCCTCGGCCAATAAAAGTATGGGCTCATTGTGGTGTAAGCAAAAAAATAATGGATAATTTAAAAAAACATAATTATGAAAAACCTACTCCGATACAAACACAAGCTATTCCTGCTATAATGGCTGGTCGTGATCTTATCGGTATTGCAAAAACTGGCAGTGGCAAAACTCTAGCGTTTTTATTGCCGATGTTTAGGCACATTATGGATCAACCACCTTTAGAAGATACTGATGGACCAATAGGTTAGTACTTACTTATTGAGTTTTCAGTTATATTTACTATTTAAATTATTTTTGGTCTATACTCGATTTATTAAAGGATAAACAATTTAGATTTTAAATAAAAACTGCAGACTAGTACATTTTTTTTGAAAATATATGGGAAGTATAATAAATTGATGTTTCAGATTTTATTTTCTAAAACATAATATACTATATAAAATAACATATTCTATTATATACTTTTATACATAAATGTTTTATTATTTTTGAAAAAATTATCTTATGATTTAAAATTTAACATAATTACCATAAATTATTTTCTTTACTAAACTTTTAATAATAGTTCGTTTTTGAAAAAAATTTAAAAATTTGTTTCATTATTTTTTAATTTAGCTATTGTTATGGCACCTACAAGGGAACTTTGCATGCAGACTGGAAAAGAAGCGCGCAAGTTTACAAAGAGCTTAGGATTAAGAGTTGTATCGGTTTATGGTGGTACTGGAATATCTGAACAAATAGCAGAATTAAAACGTGGTGCAGAAATTATTGTGTGTACTCCTGGTCGAATGATTGATATGTTAGCTGCAAATAATGGTAAGGTCTAAGTTATATTTTCCAATAACTGAAATAATTAAATAAATAACTATTGTGTAGATTCATTACTAAATTATTTTTATTGCTATACAGGCAGAGTTACCAATTTAAGACGAGTAACATATGTAGTATTAGATGAGGCTGATCGTATGTTTGACATGGGATTTGAGCCTCAAGTAATGCGAGTAATTGATAATATACGCCCAGATCGTCAAACTGTTATGTTTAGTGCTACATTCCCTCGTCAGATGGAAGCTTTAGCTAGAAGAATATTACAAAAACCTATTGAAGTCCAAGTATGTTTTCTTAAAGACAATAGTCACTTACGTAAAAATGTTAATTTAAATACGTTTATAGATTGGAGGTAGAAGTGTTGTTGCCAAAGAAGTCGAACAGCATGTAATTATTGTTGAAGAAGAACAGAAATTCATGAAGTTGCTTGAAGTTTTAGGTGTCTATTATGAAAAAGGAAGTTGTATTGTGTTTGTAGATACTCATGAAAATGCAGATACACTTCTACAAAAATTATTAAAAGCATCCTACCCATGTATGGCATTACATGGTGCTATAGATCAGTATGACAGAGATAGTACTATAGTTGACTTTAAAAGTGGTCAAATCAAATTGTTAGTTGCTACATCTGTTGCTGCTAGAGGATTAGATGTTAAAGATTTAATATTAGTAGTTAATTATGATTGTCCTAATCATTACGAAGATTATGTTCATCGATGTGGGAGAACTGGAAGGTAATTAGTAGTTACTACTTGTATTTATTAAACAATTAAATTAAAGTTTATCATTCATTAAAATGTTTATAGTCCCCAACATGAAAAGTGGCCGATTACCGTCGCGAACCTAGCGGCCATTTCGCCTCAGTGGTTCATAATGTAATTAAATTAATTACTGCGTTTTTTTGAATTAATCATTTCAACTCCTAAACGATGCGTGCATTGCGACCCCCGGCAATGGGCAGGTTGTGGTGTAGGTTGAGAACCAATGGCTAATACGTAGGGAAGCCGCAACGGGTCACGGTACAAATCGGCCACTTTTCATGTTGCAGATTATAGTTATAATACTACTTTTAATTTTTTAATTAATTTATTTGAAATATAATATAAAATTAGGGCAGGCAATAAAGGATTTGCATACACATTGGTTTCACCAGACCAAGAAAGATTTGCTGGTGATTTAATAAGAGCTTTGGAAACATCTAATGTATCTGTGCCAGAATCATTACGTACCATGTGGCTACGTTACCAAGCAAAACAAGCTGCAGTAAGTAACTTTAATATGTTGTATAGTATATTATTGATTCATCTAAAATTAAAATTACTACAAAAAGATTTTAATAAGAAAAAATTATAGTTTTAATAAATTGGTTTACAAGTTATTCATATTATTAATACTTTCATAAATAAGTCACATACAAATATAACATTTTAAAATAGTATTTTTATATTAAAGTATGTTAAAACTTTTTTTTTTATTATTATTTGATGTTTTCAGTATACAAAAAAAAAAAAAAAAATGATAAAGGTCTAACAATTTTACTTTCATTATTTAATATGTTATATGGAATTGAAAAAATATACTTCACGTCTTTCAATAAAGTTTGTCATAAATGTCTTATATATGTAAAAGTTATTTGCTTCATACTATAGTTTACCTACCTATAATGTATATTTTGAAATTTTTGTTTTTTCACGCCTAGGAGACATAAGTGGAATCAGAGTTTTTCTAAAATGTTTGGTTTTTTAAAATATTTAAAATTTTATATTGCCATGCCATAGTGATTCAGATATCTCACTTAATATTTTAAAAAATCACTCATTTTATATAAATTGAACATTTAAAATAAAATTTTTGGTTAGTAAATCATTATGCAAAGTGAGTAACTTTTAAAAATGTATAAAATAGGTAATTATAACAATTCCAACAAAATGTTGTCCTGTGCTAATTTTAAATATTTAAAATTTAATAAAATTTGTTTTATCTGCTTCTTTACCTAACTATATACTGAACATAGGTAATATTTCTCATAGTAACTATATACTGAACATACTATGAGAAATATTAAATTATTTTATAATATCCTTTTTTATTTAATTACTTTTCTAAAACTTAATAAATTAACTAAACAATATTAATTAAATATGGTAATAGTTAATCAATGAACATTTTTATTTTTACTTAAATTTTTTTCTGATCAAAATATAAATTTTTGAATACTCTCACAGCCTAGAATTTACAGGCTATTGATTGATTAGAAATCTTTTAATTCAAAAGTTAATTTTACTAGTATTAAAATTAATTTAATATTAAATTATATGTTTAGTATAAAATATGTTTTTTGTCTATAAATTTTACTTTTAGTTGCTAGGAACATTTTTATACCTAAATTAATATTATTTTTAAATTACATATTATACTTTACCATCAAAAGTAGTAACTTTTAATTTAAATAATTAACCAATATCCATCCCATATACATGGAGAATACCTTAATAAGAGAACATTATACCTGCGTGTGTTGTCTCTGTTTTACTAATGCAAAACAAATTTGTGTTTAATGAAATCCATTTTATGCTGTTAGCTTTAATAAAGTCAATTTACTTAGTATTAAACTTAAAGATAAGAATACTTTTTAGGGCATAGTATAGGTTTTAATTGATATTTTTGTTTTAAAGTGAACTACGAGTACAGTTTTAATATTCTATTTAGCTATAACTCACTTGAAAATTCAAATATTAATATAAGCCTTCATGATCCCTTAGATAATATTCTAATTTTTTAGTTTGATAATAAGTAAAATTAACTCTTAATGCTAACAGAATAAAATAGATTCTGCTGTATGCAAATTTACATAATGTTAGTAAGACAAAGACATGTGGGTATGACAACCTTTTAACAATTATAATATTTTTAGGAAGGAAAACAAGTTCATACAGGTGGTGGTTTTAGTGGAAAAGGATTTAAATTTGATGAAACAGAAGCTGTTATGGCTAATGAAAAGAAAAAATTACAAAAGGCTGCTCTTGGTCTTCAAGATTCTGATGATGAAGACATAGAAGGAGATATTGATCAACAAATTGAAACAATGCTTGCACCTAAAAGAATTGTGAAAGAAGTCAAAGCCAGTTCTATAGGGCTCCCTAACTTAACTGGATTAAGTAATCTTATTGTTATTTATTTTTAATATTTATTTACAATCTACACTTTTTCAAAGCTAATTAAGCTTAAATGTTGAAATAGTTAATAAGGTTACTTTTTTCAAATATGTTTTAGTGGAAGTAAATGGAGTTCCTCAAGCATCAGAACGACTTGAATTAGCCAAACGTTTAGCCTCGCGTATCCATATTGCTAAAAACCTTGGTCCAGACGCCAAAGGTGCATCGCAACAAACTGCAGAGGCTATATTAAAAGGGGGTCTTGCTAGTTCTCAACCTGTTATTACTGCTAAGACTGTTGCTGAACAATTAGCAGCTAAATTAAATACTCGACTGAATTATCAACCAAAAGATGATGATGGTGAGAGTGAATGTGGAGATAGTCCTGAAGCAGGTGTAGAAGAAGTATTTAGAAAATATGAAGAAGAATTAGAAATAAATGACTTCCCTCAGCAAGCTAGGTGGAGAGTTACTTCTAAGGTCAGTTAAAAAGATTTATATGATATGTTAATTTGTAATTAACCTGTAAAATGTTATTTTAGGAGGCCTTAGCACAAATATCAGAATATTCAGAAGCAGGAATAACTGTCAGAGGTACTTATTATCCACCACCTAAAAATCCTCCAGAAGGAGAACGTAAGCTATTTTTAGCTATTGAAAGTACTGATGAGTTAGCAGTCTCTAAAGCTAAAATAGAAATCACTCGTCTTATCAAGGAAGAATTATTAAAAATGCAGACTTCTGCACATCACATGGTCAATAAAGCTCGATATAAAGTCTTATAATCACTATTGTATTTTTTTTTATATTAGTCAAGTACAATTTTTAATTTTTATTCATATGGTTTTAAATAAAACTTGAGTCTTATTCAGTAGTTCTAATTTCTTCATAAGCTGAAATGGCTTTCTATACATAAACAAAAGAAAGTATTATTAGTACATAATTCTACAATAACATAACTAAACATGTTACATACATTAAATGTTTTTTTAACATGATTTAACATTTGATTAAGCTCTTGAAAACCACGTTTGAAAATATCTTCAACAGTGTGACCATTTTTTACTTTTAACCGTAAATAAATTTTATTTTCTGATGGATGCCTTATGGAATAAGCACAAAAATCTGTTTCAGGAAAACTTTCTAAAATATAGGTTAAAAGTGAACCCAGTGTATGTCCTTCATCTTCAAAAACAAATGTTCTATCTAGTTCTGAAGGTCCAGTATCAATATCGTCTTCTAATAATTCCTAAAACATTCAAATACTATAAGATACAACACTATTATTAATCTATTGATAAATAATTTTATAAATCACATGTATTAGTAAAGTTTTTATATTGGATCTATAAAAAATTATAGTTATGGGTTGTCAATAAATGAGATAATGCATATTACATTGTCAAATTAGAATGCCCTTTTACAATTACAATATTCTTGGTACCCCAATATCCAAAATTGATCCAAGTGTATGATCAGTCATAGAAGGTGACCCTGACTACAATTCATTAAATAGTAAAAATACTAATTTCTACATAATGAAACATACCTAAGTTAATAATTTGTTTTGGGTTGGTAAAAATAAAAAGTTGATATCATTTAATTAAATACATTTGTCTAAATAAGGTAGTTATAATATTAATCACAAGCGGATTCTATTAATAATAATTATTTTTTAGTTTTGAATAAGATCCCAAATTTATTTTAAAAATATGGAACATTTTAAATCATACCTATATTTGTAATTTACATTAGTGTTAATTTGGTGAGGGGGACTTATATTAGTAATAATAAAATATTACAAAATTAAATATGTGATGTGTCTGTTTTACAAATTCTTTGAAAACATTTGGTAGCTAAAATTACAATTGACCTCAATGAAACATTTCATTTTCCTCACAGTTACTAAATATACTATAAATTAAAGTTAAACATAATCATAATCAAATAATAATTATTAATTATCATTTGATTTAGATTTATAGTTTATCAATAATTTAAAATTTAAAAAGCAAATAATATGAAAAAATTTAATTTTTATAATAAAGTAGATACAAGAAAAATTATCCAAAATACAGGATAAGTGTTATTTTTAAACTTGGGTCAGGACACTTCATTCAATTACAGGACGTATGGGATCCCTAGTTTAAAAACAATACCTATATTTTGAATTGATCTTCAGTTTAAATGTTAATGAATATTACTTTTAATTAGTAGGTATTTTTCAAAACAAAAAAATACTTAATATTAAATTTGAATAAAAAAAAAAAAAAAAAAAAAAAAAACGTTATTAGTTTATTACAATAATGTAGGTAGATTCGTTCAACTCACCGTCATGACACATAAATTTCATACACCTAAAAAGTAAAAATGATAAAATTTTAAATGATCTAGTCTGATCGAACTCGACGGCAATGTAGCACGAGATTTCTAATAATGGAATAGAAATTGAAAAAAATTGAAAATATGGAATATTGATATTTGGTTTGAATAATGTGATTGACTGCCTAAGACGTGTAGTGTACGTCTGATACCAGTGTTAAAAAATAGTTTAAATCTGTACTAAAAAGTTAGTATCTTTATTCGTGGTCCTAGCCAATCTTATCAGTTATCATATTATCACCAATAACATAACCAAAGCAAACTATAAAAAAGTCAAGTCCTAGAAAGTAGCAATCTACTACGACTGCCCTACAATTATGGACGTTACCGCAGATTAAATTAATTTATTAATTTATGGATATTATAGACAAAATTAATATAATATTAATAAAAGTTATTTTGTGACACTCTAGCACAAATTAGGTTATATAGTATCTATAAACGTGGTTCCGATGTTTATTTATTCCAAGAAATATTTGTTCCAATGACCAGTTGTACGACAGTTTTTATATCACAACTCACAAGTACCAATGTATTTTTTTTCCAAGACTCGTGCCAAATTCAATTATGTATCTTACTATCTTGTAAATTTATGGTAGGTATACAATTTTAACGATAACTGATAAGATAAATTTACCAAAACAATTTATTCAGACATGTTTTTTTTTTTAAATTTTTTATTAATTGTTTTAATTTGTTTATTACTGTAATACATCTCTGCACCATTTGCGTTTTAAGCGTTTTAGAGGGCTATTTGAACTAGTGAGAGCTGAAAGATTTTAGATTTTTAATTAAAAGTTTTGAATGGGGGAAAAGACGGTCATGAAACTGCTTATAGAAGCATTTAGCTTCTTCGTGGATTACTTTTAATTTTAAGTCTGTGTGGAGAGTATGGTTTGATATGTATGGTGGAGGATTTCTTAATTTTCTCAGGGCTATGGTTTGGAAGGATTGGATTTTATTTAAGTTTGACTTTTTTTCACTTTCCTATAGCTGAAGGTTATAATATGTCCAAATTGGTTTCAGTAATGTTTTGTAGATGAAGAGTTTAATATTAAGGGAGGTGTGTTTATTAGAGATTAGAAGTTTAAGAATACGAAGAAGGTTATTTAGAGATAGTCTTTTATCTCTAATATGGTGAGCCCATGTTAGTCGTTTATCTAGTGTAAGACCAGAGTATTTAGTTGTAGGAGAGGATAGAATTGAAATTTTGTTGAGAGTTACTTTTGGTGTGAATAATAAATTTGCTATGGTTTATTTTAAATCTCCATTTGGCATACTAGTCCTCCCATAAGTCTAGGTGAGTTTGAAAGTTTATAGAGGTTATGAGTGGATCGTTATTTATAGAGATAAATTACCTCAGCATCAGCATAGTCTGCCACTACTACTAATGTATTTGTTGTGATTGGTTGATCTGAAACGAATATATAAACGAGGATAGCGAATAATATGCTGCTCTAGAAAACTTATATTTCTAATACTTGTCATGACAGAGGGGTATTGTATTTGAAAGGTTCCTTCAATCCGATATGATTTAATAAGTAAATAGAATATTGGAGGATAAAATGCTTTTAGTTTATGTAGGAGACCCTCGTGTCATACTCTATCGAACGCTTGTGAGATATCTAAGAATGTTTATGTGAAAATAAATTTTTATTTTTGAGGGAGTAAGGATATTACGTCCCTACACTGTACATTTGATGGATCGTCGAATGTGAAGAACAAAAACCAAACTGATAGTTTGGCAAAACTTTTTTGTCAGCAATGATGGGTAGAAATGTAGAATACGTTGAATCAGTGGCCCGCGTTCAATTATTAGTTTTTCTAGTATTTTTGCAATGAAGAGAAGAAGACTTATTAGTCTGTAGGATGAGATTAAATCAAGTGGCTTATTTGGTTTTTAGATCATGATAATTCCACAATAGTGGAAAATAAGGCAGTCTAATAATTAGATTGTAAATATATGAGCTTTATATTGTGAAAAGTATTTTGATTTGTAATTATAACTACAAAAATACTTACTACGAATTTTACGAATTGTGAGTGTGTTAAAACTCAGTCATCTTAACTTGTATCAGTTAAATCATCTACTAAATATGAATGGTGTGATAAAGAAAGGAGAGAGAATCAGTGGCATACCTTCATATTTTTTCTGGGTAGGCTTGTTAGTTTAATGAAAGAATTTACTAATAAATATTTTTATTGAATAAAAAATTAACATCATAATACTATATATTATACATATATACGCATATTTAATGTATGTATTTTAAATTGTTAAATACATACAAAATGTATAAATTCTTAATTTTAAAAACTAACTTCCAAAACTTAGAAATAATAATAATAATAATAAAAATATTACGAGTATAATGACATAAATTTGACACGGCTTCGGCGGATGTTGTTGATCAGAAGACTGCGGACAGCCGATTACGTGTCTTGCGGAATTGGCGGTAGACACTCTCGACCAAAATTTGGTGTAAATAAAAAACTATTCGAAAAGAGGAAAAAAAAGAAACGAATACCTGTGATTACGGTAAAGAATTGGTACCGTTTATTTTCGGTAAAACACGGTTAACAAATAACGTATATGGGTCAAAAGAAAAAAACAATCAAAACTGTGCCCGGAGCAATAGACAGTACCGTTGACGTGGTCTATAAAAAAGTAACGAGAGCCGGGGACTCGTCTAGTGCAATTTGTTTTCCTGTCCTGCCTAGGCCTTTACAATTTACAGCGTTGGCGGGTGAGTTGACAATATCGCGACTTTACTCGTAGTGGTGGTGGTGATATATAATTTATAACGTATCCATTATCCAGTAGAGTTGATTCAAGAATATAAATGTATCTGCTTGGATAGTTGGATCACCTAATACATTATGTCGGATGTCGATTAACTGCATTGATTGGTTATAGAACCGCAACATTCAAAATAAAACAAGTCTGAATTGAAAAAAAAAAAACGTGTAATCGACCGATTTGTAGAATCGATTAAAAACCGTTTTTACAATATAATAATTTTATTATTTAAATTTTTTATATACATATGGTCATATAGACGACACATTCAATACGATATGAAACTTTTAATTTTGAAGAAAAATGCGTAAGCTCTATCAGGTACTGGTTACACCACTTGAGAGAAGAACCTACACTAAATACAAGCAAATAAATATTAAATACTTCCCTATTTTTTTTTATGTTTAATAATAATTTTTTTAATTTTGTTATTTTTGCTGTTTGTCCTGGATTTGCTTGATGAAATTATAGTAATCCTACACATTGTCAGCTAAAGAAGTAATACCATAGAATGTAATAATGAGTGAGCGTAAAATTGAATAGTAATTTTACGGAGGATTATTTATTCGAAAAAATATATCTTGAATTAATTATTTTTTCGATTAAACATTTGCTTCTGCCTTCAATGCCAAGTAATTTAATCTATATATTTTTGAAACAAATGATTTTTGGGAATAAAAGACCATTGGAACAAATATTTTATGAAACTACTAATAAATCCCAAGGGTGGTGCTACTGTTTATCTTTAGCGTTATCATTTAAAAATGTATTATCAAAGAATAACTATTTTAGAATTTTAGATTTTAATAGTCAAACCACGACTGTTCAGACAATTTCCACTTTCCAGTGTTCAGTGGAATTATAAAATATTTATTGGAATTATACCAAAACCATCATGACGAGGTAAACAATTTAATGTTATATTTGGTTTTGTACGTAAAAATTTCACCTTTTTTAATTATTAATATTTAAAGTTATTCAATGTGTGTTTTAAGTTAGAACATAATTATTATTATTTTTTTTTATTATTTAATTGGATATCTTTAAATTACAAAAAAAATCAAAAAAAAACTACTAACAAGTATAAAAATAATTTGTTATAATGATTGAATTAGGAAAAAAACCTTTTTTTGTTTCTTATGATTTGATAATAGAACATAAATTCTGTAATAGATATATTGATAATATTTTTTTTTTTATTTTAACTAATAAGAGCATTCCTTAATATTTTATGTATAATAGTTAATTTAATCTAACTGATTATAACATTTGATTTTTAAAAGTGTTTCTTTGAGCAGGCAAATATCTGTTATTTTATTACTCTAAATACTTTTTATAAATTGTTGATTGATGATAACTTACCAATATCCATACATTTTGATGATGCCATTATAAGGAAATGTTTGTTGAAGATAATTTTTTACCAATTTACCTGTTTCTGCTCTGTTCATTATATATGACTCAGTTTGGTTAAAAAATAATAATTTGTTTTATGTAACTTAACTATGAATATGTTCTGCTAGTTTTCCATTAAAATATTTACTGCATTCATATCATTGTTAAATAGTTAACATTTATAAAATTGTTAAATCTATTACAACCTATTTCTTTGATTATTTGAATAAAGTTTAACTATGTGATTAATTTTATAGAGCCAAGTTGGAATTGGGCGAAATTACTCATCATAATATTAAGCAACTTAAACGATTAAATACTGTGGTTTTTCCTGTTTCATATAATGAGAAGTTCTATAAAGATGTCCTAGAAGCTGGCGAATTAGCTAAATTAGGTATATATCTTATTTAATTTCTATTACTTGTTGCTATCTGTTTATATATTTTTGTGTGTACATTTAGCGTACTATAATGACATTGTGGTCGGAGCTGTATGTTGTCGAATAGACCAAGAAGTTGGTCGTCGACTTTATATAATGACTTTAGGGTGCTTATCACAATATAGAAGACTTGGTATAGGAAGTATGATGGTTGAACATGTCTTAAATTATGTTGAAAGTGATGGTACATTTGATAGTGTTTACTTGTAAGTATATTTAGTATAGGTAATAAATTTTAAGATTGTATTTTGAAATTTTTTTAATTTTTTTTAGACATGTTCAATTGAATAATGACAGTGCCATAAAGTTTTACAAAAAATTTGGATTTGAGATAGTTGAAACTAAAGAGCATTATTATAAGAGAATAGAACCAGCAGATGCTTATGTGCTGGAAAAACGTCTACGGCCTAAAACTATAAATGGGAAAAATGATCATCATTCAAATAACATCAAAAAAGATTAAACACCGACTAGATTTCTTAATTGTTTATTGTATTAATACATTATAATAATAGAACATATACTGTAAATATATATACAGTATAAAAAACACAAAATATTGTATTGTTATTTAAATACTTTTGAGATAGTCTCAAGACTAGTTTTTTATGGTATC